GCACAAGGCATTCTTTCGGAGGGGTGATCTCTCTGCCATTGCCCAGCGAGAAGAAGGATATTGACTCTACCAATATCGAGAAACCCTTGTAGCGAACACGCAAGTGGCTGCTTCATCTCGCCATGGCCGCAAAAGAAAGTTCCATTTCATGCTCCGGACCCCCCGAACCCAGTACTAGTAACGTTCCGCGCACATCGCGTTGGAGAAAATGACCGAGAGCTAGAGCTAGAGTCTGAAGCTGCATGGTGGGGAGCTGAGCAGTAAAGACAGCCGCAATCAACTACAGCGTGCCCATCTGTCACTCGAGCCCCAGGAAGACATCTTCGTAACGGGAGAGCCAACCTCCGGATCCTTCAAAAGCTCGCAGGCCCGACTCACCACCCAGGGCCTCCATTGAGCGCTCTCGGAGGTTGGCAGCTGCTGGCTGCCAGCTCGTGCAACTCCGTACCTTGAGGTTTTCATGGCTTGGGCCCGGGTTTCTCAAACTAAGGGCCCCCTCTGAAGGAAAGAAGGATGCTTCACGTGCCCGTTGGACCAACTTTGGCTTGAACGATTGACAACGTTCGGTGCATGGTATCTCCAATCTATCTATCTCTCGATCTGCCGCTCTATCTGACAAGTAGGACAGGGGCTTTGCATCCAGGTGATCATGCCTTTGATGACCTTGGGCGGCCGCGCGCCTGTGGCATCGAAAGGGCTGTTTGCTGTACAGACAGTTTATTTTCAAACCTTGACAAACAGTCACAGGGCACGCCTAAATCACGCAACCCTGGGAAATCGAATTGCTGGAGAATGCACAGTACGAGCCTGCTTCGCTGCGCAGCTCTGCCAGTCGCACGAATGCAGCACGGGACACGATCTGCAGGGCTCTGCCAGGGGAGGTGGAGTCGTCTCGATACACGAGACATCAGCAGGGCCCGCATGCAACGGTTCCAGCAGACATGTGAGCTCACGGTCGAAGTCTGCAGCCAAAGTCCGCTCCGACCGGAAAGCCTGAATCCCACACAGACACCACCCGCCTTCATGGCCTCACGGCCCAGGCTGCCCGGTGCGGCGATCTGACGCAAGGGCTTCGGACGTGGAACACTTATCAGCCTTAGGTCCGAACCAAGGAAGCTGAAGATCAGTAGGACGGAAACCGCGGTGCATGTCTTGAAGTGCTCGGCTTCCGAATGCTATCTCCTCACCTATGTCCGAAGACCCTGCCGCAAGGCTTACCGCTATCCGAGCCATCTGTGTGGGTATATACGAATAGACACGAACATAGTTATCAATACATAAAATATATAAGCACATATGCATATACATACATACATGCATACATACAGACTTACATACATACATACATACATACATACATACATAGACACATAGACACATAGACACATAGACACATACATGCATGCATGCATGCATGCATGCATGCATACATAGATGCATGCAGACAAACATACATGCATACATACAGGCATACATGCAGACATGCAGACATTTGCATACATGCGTACATGCATAAATGCATACATACATACATACATACATGCATACATGCATACATGCATACATGCATACATGCATACGTGCATACATGCATACATGCATCCATGCATGCATGGATGCAGGCAGGCATGCTTGAATGCATGCCTGCCTACCTACCTACGTACCTACGGACCTACGTACCTACGTACCTACCTAACTACCTATCTCCCTCCATTTGTCAGGGGCCGCGGCTCCACAGCCAAACTTGTTTCCCTGCCTCGACATCGAAGTCGCCACCATCTCGCTGTATGCCTGCAGGGACGTGAATGCTCTTGCTGCGTTTATCCCAGGCGGGTCATGCTGGGCCTAAGCTAATGTCCCCTGAAACAAAAGCCCTTAAATCTGCAAGAAACCTGACGACCAGAATCATCAAAAGTCAGGTCCATCTGCAGCAAGCTAGCGGCAGCTTCATGCCGGCACGACATTAGCCTCAATTCGACGTGTGGTTTCCGTTGTGGAGGAAGCTCAAGCTTAGGGGCAGAATTCAGCCGAATTCAGCCACTGTTGAAGTCAAGGCCTGCATACCCGCCGGCCGCGCTGGCCGTTGGTGTCGGATACGTCGAGCTGAACACGAAAGCCAGTCATCAAGCAGTCGTGACAAATCGCGGTTTCACAGAAGCTAGAGTACGGCTCACATATGGCACGAGGAACTTTCTTTCCGGCCTGCGACTGGATTTCAGGCAGCTCATGTGTGTGGGGGGTTGGGCACGTACTTACCCACATGGCGGTTTAGAGTTTAGCTATTAGGGTTTAGTATACCCTCAACCCTAGACCCCAAAGCAGGCTGCCAGGGGGACATGAGAAAATGTGAAGCACCCACGCCACGGGCATCGGCCAGGTGTACTAGTAAAATTTACCCATTGACAGTGATGTGCAATTTGGACTAAACTGCACTTTCAAGCACAGCTCTGAGACGAAGACGGCAGCGTGAAGCGCCTGCGGATTGGTCCAAGCCATCAAACGACACGAACACACACACACACACACACTCACTCTTGGCTTGTCTTACACATGCTCACTCTCTCTCACTCTCTCTCTCTCTCTCTCTCTCTCTCTCTCTTTGCTGCGGTCATTAGGCCCATGGCCCATGTCCATGCTGCCCCTGCCTCCCCTGCCCGCACACACTCTTGTCGAGCGGGCGGGGAAAACCGTGCTAGATTTCTCACAACATCAAGACTTTGCTTTCCTTAGTTCGCACGACTCTTTGTCCTGCTGTCCCGCTTTTGCATTGCTCAGAGCTTGGGGCGCACTGCCCCATGCACCTATGGAAAAGGCTATCCATGGCTATCCCCTCTCTGTCTGTCCGTCTCCCTCTCTCTTGGTTCTCGTGCTGCTCCAGACCTGTCTTGCTGAGGTTTTCAAGCTGCCACTTGCGGGGATAGTGTGCAACAGCAATGCAGCAGAACCAGACCAAATCTGTTCCGTGTGTGTCTGTGTGGCCTCATGTGCACATGCAAGGAAATTCTTGCAGCCCGCGTAAAGCTTCGGAGTGAAGAGCTTCCGATCCGGTTGCTACCGGGACGCACGGTGCAGGGCAGGCTGCCGCCACTTTCAGCGGCTGCTTCCGGATTCGCCGCCTGCACGGCGGGATCAGGAAGGCAGTCTTTCCGAACCTCGCCCAGCATGGAGACTGTCAACAAGTTTGTCGATGTCTCTCTGATTTTTGGGCATGTGGACCTTGGCAGAAAGATAGTGGTGTTGGCAAAGTATCCAACAACGAGACAATACACACAAGTTGACAATTAGACAAGCCGAAGCCCTAGTCTCACATTCAGGACTTGGTGTGACCACTGTGCCAAACGTTCCGAACGGCCCATGCAAACCATGCAGACCAGGCTCTGCGTTTGAAACACTCCAAAAAAGCCTCTGGCCTTCATCCCAGTGCCCTGGGACAACAAACCCAACCAAAATACCCCTAAACCCCCAAACCCTAAACCCCTAAACCCTAAATCCCTAACCCCTAAACCCCAAAACCCCAAAACCCCCAAACCCTAAAACCTTAAATCCCTAAACCCCTAAACCCTAAACCCTAAAACCCTCAACCCTTAAACCCCCAAAATACCCCGAGCTGCAGGAGATCCGAGGAGATCTCCGTCTCCGGCCTCCAGGCGCCACATCGGAGCTCGAAGGCCCAGCTCCAGCTTCCAGCTGCGCCCTCCTACGGCGCCACGAGGCACTTAGGGTTTAGGGGCTCTTAGGGTTTAGGGGTTTAGGGATTAGGGTTTAGGGTTTTAGGGTGTAGGGTTTAGGGTTTCTTTCTGTTTTGCGACGAGAATACATCGCATATAGACTCTATAGTAGGCTCTGTAGTCTAGTTTTACCGAGCATCGGACACAGAGTGGAGTCGGATGGTACGGTACCGTTGTGGCACGGCATGCCGTATGATGCAGGGTTGAGAATAAGCTACGACCCTGGAAATGTTGGAACCGGGGCATGTGGCATGCACCGGCCAAGCATCGGGCACACGCACGGATAGGTTCAGAGTTTGAGGATGCTTGTAGACAGAAGGAGCGGGCAAGGCGTAGCGGTGTCCCGTGGTCGAAGCCTCGACCACAAATTTATTAGGACACTATACATTGTCGGCCGCTTATACCCTAAGGTATAACTACCTTGTGCTGAGAAGGACGACCTCGAGGAACTGCTGTAGCCAGGGCTTCAGCGCGCTGCATGCCTTCCAAGTCAGCTGACAGTACTTTGTTTCAAGGACGCTGGGGTTCGAAGGTCATTTGGGCGTCCGCTTCAGAAAGGTTGGGGCTTCAGACGCTGACTTGGGGTTTGGGACTGAACCTTTGGTGCTCCCACCCGGTCTCGTCACTTGTCAGGCGAGGTTTGTCTGCACCAAGCAGCGGGTAACGTGGGAGGGCCTTAGGTGCTCGTCTGACAACTTGGATTCCGATGGTGACAGGATAGGTGTACATGCGATCCGTCCGTCTCTGTAGTCTGAATCTCAAGCCAGCCTCCTGCAGCCGCCGCAGCCTGCACCAAAGACTCCGGCTTGACTAGCTCGGCCTTGGCATCGGGTGTGTATGTGTCGTCAGTTGTCAGGGCTAAAACCAGGACCGAAAGCCTAAAATATTACAATGAACGTGTGTGAAGAACAGCAGGAAAGAAGACTTCTGCACCACTCCTGCGACTCAACCGGTCAACGTTGTGACAGAGCAGATCCAAGGCTTACGGAGCTCTGTCAGGGCTTGTACTACAGAGCTCACCTGCACGGCAACATGTCGTGTGAGCTTCGAGCAGGCCTAATGCCTAAGGGTTGGTCGGGAATTTTGCGCGTTTCGTGTTCAGAGCAGCTAGAAGAGGTGCAACGGAGCGCGGCCATCTTCCACCATCTCGCGCCGGTGCCGCACAAGCGCTACCTCTTCGCTCGCGATGTTGGATGTCTACGGTCTTCGGACGTGAACATCACAAGCTTTGGAATTGAGCAGGTTGAAAAGTGATACAGGCTACGACTGGCTTCATCAGAGGGAATTTTAACCATCCGACTTTTGGTTGTGTGCCCTCGGTTTCACGTCACAACGCAGCTACGACAAAAGAGAAACCGCTGCAAACTCCGTGCAGTAGTGAAGTAAGGAGAGATACTCGCCAAATACAACTCTGAAGACTTCACTGCGACTTTTTTAGGTGGAGCCCCGTTAAGCAGCGCAGGGTGGGCCGGGCATTGCAGAGTTTACCTGGCAAAGCTTGCGACAATGAGAATGTAAGACCAGCGAGAAATAAAATCCGAAATCCAACACCTCCAGCAGGGGCCAGCGCTTGGAAACCTTGCAACTGTACTTCCAAGGCCAGTAGAGCTGGCTTGCAGCCAGGAAACCATACCGCGAACAAGGCAAGGGCCAGTGCTTTTATAGCGGAATACCGATGTCGGCTCGAGGAAAGAATCTTGGGCCTTCGCTCGCTAATGCCTGTGCCATTCAGTAACTAATTGGTGGTGCTTCCTGCTTTCTGGGGCCGTTTCGGCTACAGGATCCTTGTTGCAAACGTTCTCCAGGAGGACCCTTGCCACATCGCCGTCGACTGCCCTCTTCGAGGGTTGTAGTGAATGCTCGTGTTTGAGGGCCTGCCCTCGCTCATGTGGTCTCCAAGTTTTGCTTGAGCTTTTGTTTTACGAACGTGGGCCTAAACCGAGTCATGTTCACGATGTCTCGATATTGCAACAGCGATCACACCGGAACACCATTTCTTCATGGGACTTCATGGGCCTGCAAGTATCTGGGGTTCACGAAGCCTGGGCGTGTGTTGAAGTTGCGTTCGAAGCACTTGCACGGTAAATCCCACCCCTGTTGACACTTTACACATGCAGCTGACTGGGAGACCCACCCGTTCACAGGTCGCAGGAGCTTTCTTCAAACGCCATACGAGGCAACCGGCAGTGGACAGGGCTAAAGGCTCAAGGTCCCGCTTTAGGGATCTAGTAAGAGGGGATGCACAAAGGACGGGTTGAAGCATGTTGAAGTCGTAACCAAGACCTATGAGTCGCCAATGAGACATGCAATGCTTATATGAAGCATGGAGTTCAGAGCTTAAGCGGTCCTGTCCCTTTGCCTAAGCCAGCCACTTGAGCCTCAGCGTTGGAACAGCAGGGTTGCTTAGAACCCTGCTCCGAGCAGAACGAGGGAGAGAGAAGCGCAGATTCGGCTAACCGAGGGCCATAGCCATATTGAGCCGAAGACTTGAACTTTAAGACTCTAGCATCTCCCACACCTCAGACATCCTCAGACAGAGCACTCTCTTCCCCGCACTGCTTAACATACAGCCCCTGAAAAACGTCTCTTGCCAGGCACCATCTTGGACCAAGCAGACTCAAGGCCTAGGCCCAGGCTGTATGCCCCAACATCCGTCGATTGTTAAACTCAAGCACCCTACTATCCCAACGCCGTACACCGGCAAGGACGGCAATGCCTAGCCCCCCGTTTAGCACTCATTAGTGATGCACCCGTCCTCTTGCTGAGGCCCATGACCCAATCTCGTTACATCACACTTGGGCTGACTGACTCTGGCGATTCCAGCTTTGCGGCAACATCTCACTACAGCAAGAAGAACAAAACACAGAGCAGCAGGATAGGTAGCCAGGTAGCAGTAGTGGAAGTACTCCCAGTGTGGCGAACGAGTGTACAGAGTGGGCTCCACTCGGTAGTGACAAGGCACGACAACGACCACGACCGATGGTCTTACATACATAAGACCAACATTGCGTGACTGTGCTAGTCAAGTATGAATGCAATCATCAGAAACGTGATAGTATCATTCCAGCCACTCTTGTACTTTTCCTCACACTTCTACTTCTTCGACTGCTTAGCCACCCTATTCTTGCAGTCTCGCCTGTGTCCATGTGTGCCAGGTATTGCAGGCCGTGCCGAAACGGATCGACTGCAACGGCGCGACGTGAAACTGTCTGAATGCAGTCTAAAATCAAGTTTTGCACACTTGCAGCTTCATGCCGCTTCTTGATGCTAACTAAGTCTTCTTGAGTGTACTTCGGGTCTAAGCTCGTCGATGTGCCACTGCAGAGAAGCTGATCTCATGAGTTTGTAACAGTCGCTTTGCCAAAGAGTCGATACTGCGTGTATGTCTGACTGGCGAGGAGTTTCGGGTCATACTTCGTCAGCGGCAGAGCTTGAAAGATATTATGGTTCTGAACCCTATACGGCACATGCCTGCTTCTCGCAAGGATGACGTCAGGAAATTTCGTGGCTCGCTACGACCGCCAGCAAAATTACGGGAGGAGTTTCCGGCAACTGCATGCTTCTGGTATCTAAAGTTTGGGAGGGAGCATTGATGCTTGTACCCACGCTTTGCAGCCGTGCAGAGCAGTGCAGATTATGGTGCTGTGCAGGTCGATGCCCTGTCCGAGGAGTCGGACGTGCGCGCCTGCAGGGACGTGTTTCTCCAAAGCTGGGAGAAAGTTGCAAAGGACGGGACAGCAAGTGGAGGCTCGGCTCAAAATATCGTGTCGAAGGCAGGGGGTTCGTGGAAGCGCTAATGACAGCTGCAGCCTGGCAAGAGCCTTCTGTTTTTTTACGCAGCTCCTGGAATGAAGTGAATCTTGCAGGCCGCCGCTCGTCATGTCACCCTACTTCAACACAGTCCGCCGCCCCGTTCAACAAGGTGGGCAATGCATAGGGATGCAAACTGACTTGCAGCAACTGGGGGATGCGAAGTTGTGATCTGCCATGGGCTGGAACGAAGGCAAGAAACTTGCTTCCTGGTACTGAATGCATGGTGCTGCCATGCTGCCATTCCAGTCTGCTACACGTGATGCAATTCAACTGTCAGTGCCTCAACCGCGCACGCCTTTGTCGGTGGCGGTGGTGCCGTTGGCTCTGGTGGCTCCGTGGAGGTCTCGGATGCCAGAGTTGAAAGTCTGCGGCTCCTTCGGACGGCCTCCCGCAGGCACAATTTCCACGAAAGGCATGCTTCCGAAAGAACATGCAACATGGAAATGGAATAGTGGGAGTTGATCCATCAATCAATCCTATTCACAGCGCAACGAGAGGTGCCACCAGCAACTGCGGCACGCCGCACATTTTGGATCAAATCGTGCTCCGGCCGCGTCCGCCCAGAATGTCGAATTCCAATATGTTAGCGATATTTGGGCCTTCCCCTCGTGCTCCATTCAGCCTTGTAATCTTTATCGGTGTTTCAGGATTATGGTTTTAAGTTTCTGTGGCCCCGAAATGTGGTCCTGGCGGTCTTCATCATTCGGAGTCTGTGATGGCACGTCGATGTGCATGGATGCCTCTACTCACTCTACTCATTAGCATGATCTTACACAGCTTTCGGTGCACATCTTAAGTAAAATGCTACCCAGTCTGATCGTTGCAGACCCCAGGCCCAAGAAGGGTTTATGCTCTCACAACTAGGGAAATTAGGTGCGAGTCGGGGTGAAACTCGTAACTATTACCGCCCATGTCCAGAAAGGTTTTCGACTCTCACTCTCGCACGAAGCTGGCAAGGATTCGCATCAAAAAGGGTTTAGGGTTCAGGGCTTACAGTAATACAGTAGGGTATCTCTGGACCTTGTGGAGGATGATCTCGGTGTCATTGGAATGCAGGTAGAGCTTGGATGGCCCATCTGAAGCAGTCAGGCATTGCAAAACAAACATCGGCTCGGAACCCTTCGGACTTAACCACAGTCCCCAACCCTCCGGCAGTACAGCAACGAGGCAACCCCATCTTCCCCTTCCCGTAGCACCAACGATTACTCACATCACAACACAACTGCATACTGTACATGTAATATACGGCCGTGTCGGACAGGAAATGACACCAGGCACCAGAAACCAGTTGAGGTACAAATTGGCTTCTCACTCTCGGACTTGCCAGATGAGGTTCAAATTGTTGGGGTTTGTGGCTTCAGCATATCACGTTTCTTCATCTTACTTACGGAACCTTGTGGGGATCAGGAGTGCTTCAACCCGAACCTGACATACTGCCGAACTGTGAGGTTGTGACGTCGTCCTTTACCGCTGCCTGCGAACAGCTTCGTGAGGTTGTTCACAGCAAGCTCTTCGTGGTAGCTGCGGTACCTGCGCCGCGGACTTGAACAATGACACCTCATCCAGTGCCTGTCACTGTACATCGGGGACTCAGGACATCTGTTGAAGATCATGTTTGATGTCACATCTGCCAGAGTCAAGCCGACAACGCCACAATCAGAAGCGAA